TTTTTTGAGCTGGATTCTCACTCTTGTCACCAAGGCTGGAATGTAGTGGCATGCTCACAGCCACCGCAGCCTCAAGCTGCTAGGCTTAGGTGATCCTTCTGCCTCAGCCTTCCAAGTAACGAACTACAGATGCATGCCACCACGCCCGGCTAGTTTTTGTGTGTGTGTGATTTATTGTAAAGACAAGGTCTCACCTAGTTGCCCAGCGTGGTCTTAAACCCCCGTCTCGGGCAATCCTCGTGCCTCGGCCTCCCAGAGTACTGAGATTACAGGCTGAGCCACCGTGCCCAGTCATATATCGCTATTTAAAGCCGCACACAGCAGCTCATACCTATAATCCCAGCACTTTGTGAGGCAGAGTTGAGAGGACTGCCTGAGCCCATGGGCTCGAGACCAGCCTGGGCAACTTGGCAAAACCTCATCTCTACAATAAATCAAAAAATTAGGTGGGCATGGTGATGCGTTCCTGTAGTTCCAGCAGCTTGGAAAACTGAGGTGGAAGGGTCACCTGAGCTCAGCAGTTCAAGTCTGCAGTGGCCCTGAGCATACCACTGTACTCCGGTCTGGGCAACAGAGTGAGACTGACTAAAAAAAAAAAAGAATAAGGAAAGCCTAGAGCGAGCGAGGCACAGTGGCTCAGGCATGTAATCCCAGCATTTTGGAAGTCTGAGGTGGAAGGATCACTTGAACCCAGTTCAAGACTAGCCTGAACAACATAGTGAGAACCCTATCTCTACAAAAACATGTTAAAAATTATCCAGGTATGGTCGTGCTCTCCTGTAGTCCCAGCTATTTGGCAGACTGAAGTAGGAAGATAATTTCTTTTTTTTTCTTTTTGTTTTTGAGTTGGAGTCTCACTCTGTCATCCAAACTGGAGTGCAGTGGTCACTCCCGGTCACCGCAGCCTCGACCTGCTGGGCTCCGGCGATCCTTCCACCTCAGCCTTCCGAGTAGCTGGAACTACAGGTGCGCGCTACCATGCCTGGCTAATTTTTTTATTTACTGTAGAGATGAAGTCTTGCCAAGTGGCCCAGGCGGGTCTCGAACCCATGGGCTCAGGCAATCCACTCACCTCAGTCTCCTAAAGGCATGGGATTACAGGCTGAGCCACCGAGCCTGGCAGTTTAACTTTTCATTATTGACTTTTTTATTTCTTACTTTTGGCCGGAGAATGCAGCAGAAACACCTTTAATATTTATAACTTATTTACATACTTTTTGTAGTCAAACATAAAATTCTCTTTAAGATTTTCTTGTGAACAAAAAGTAGAATCTGTTTATTATAGCATTCAA